CTGTTATGACTTTGCCTATCACCCGGTTTCGGCTTGACGTCGACTTCTGGGACACCCTGTATATATGATTATACCTACCTTACATTGTACGCTTTTCCCTAATTTCTTTATGTCTTTGTTTGTATTCTGTGAATTTTTTCATTTCTTCTATATGTATTAGTTATTCATGTTTTCAAAAAGGCTATTGTTTGAATATTACTACGGTAACATATACTACTCGTATATCTTTACTTTTAAGCTTTTAAGTTAGTTAAGTAGGTTTTGTTAGGTCAAGTGGAAGACCAGCCATTCCTCTATAGGAATAAAAGCTGAACTTCGCCTTTTCCAAGTATCACTTCCATATCTCTGTACCTTGGTACCAACGAATAAAGATGATTATTATTATTATTATTATTACTAAATGACCTTCACTCCCCCTATTACCCATTCCAATAATGACTACCATAACATTTACAGATGATTTTCAGGATTTTTTTCAGACCAACTAACTGACACCCTTCATAAAATAGACCACAATTAGAACCAATCAAACCCTCGGTGTGCCAGTAAGCTTCTGGCTGACCGAATCGCCGTCAAGCATTACAAAGTTGCGGGTAAACGACCCGGTAACTAAAGATAACTCGACTGTATTTGCAACACAAAAAATATAAATACAAATCTGAAAATACCTCACGTTAAACCGGTGAGTCACTATAAAGTTTTTTATTATCAGCAACACATGGCTTACATTGCTGTTGTACACTCGTCTCGAAATAAACCGATTTGTTGGCATGTCGTGTAATACATACTCGTTCCGGATAGATATTTGTAAATGCATGGCATTGAAGCATCTAAACGGGCAATATTTGTGGTCCGGACATAGTACAAATATACAGAGTTTCCCAGTTTCCCCATTTAACCTCTATCCCTGTATAGAGGAGGAAATCTGGATACACTGTATAGTAATCATCAAGCAGTTTGAAAGAACAAAGGAACAGTGGCGAGGGTAGGATTGAATTTGCCTCTAGCAATTGGTTCGCTCGGCCCCGGAGATGTGGGTTCAAACCCCGTCAGCGCCCATTTTTCCTTTCACTTAATTTATTGTTTACTAAACACACTCGCTGTTACCGAAAAATCGTATACAGATCTAAGGAATCTTCGCGGATTACACTGGACAACAAATTTTAGTTTTTTAATTGTATCTTGTGGGAAAAGTGCACTTTTTTGTTAATTTTGGGGCGCCGAATCCAAAAATAACAATGAAATAAAAAAATTAGTTGCGGTTTAGAAAAAAACTTTTTATTTTTAAGGATATATTAAAAAAAGTAACAAGATTCATATACTTATAAGAATCACTGTATGCGCTGTCTTTTTGCTGTTCTTTTATGGATCGTTTCTGGAGCATCTCTACCAAGAGTCCAACAGTAGTCTGCAAGCATGGAAGGATTCCACTTGCCCTGGTAGGTACCTTTTTTCCATTGTTGAAATATCCTGATGAAAACGTTCGCCGTGCTCATCACTTACGGCTCCGCAATTGTCAGGAAAAAAGTCCAGCTGTGAGTGTAGGAAATGTATCTTAAGAGACATATTACAGCCCATCTTTTGATACGATGACAGCATATTTTTGACAAGGATTTTATAGCTGTCAGCTTTTCTATTTCCCAAGAAATTAGTGACCACCAGACGGAAATCATTCCAAGCAGTTTTTTCAATACCTGTTAAAGTGTTTTCAAACTGTGTATCTTTCAAAATATTTCGAATCTGTGGCCCAACAAAAATACCTTCTTTAACCTTTGCCTCACTTAGTCTTGGAAATTTCTGACGCAGGTATTGAAAAGCTGACCCATCTCTATCTAATGCCTTGACAAAGTTTTTCATTAGGCCCAACTTGATATGCAGTGGTGGTAATAAATTTTTTTTCGAATCTACTAATGGCATATGCTGTACATTTTTTTGACCTGGCTCTAGGAATTGACGAACAGGCCAGTTTTGTCTGGTGTAATGAAGTGCCTTTGCCCGACTGTCCCATTCACACAAAAAACAGCAAAACTTTGTGTAGCCTAGCTGCAGCCCAAGTAAAAGTGCAACAACTTTCAAATCGCCACAAATATGCCATTGGTGCTCATCGTATTTTATGCATGTCCATAGATACTTCATATTGTCATATGATTCTTTCATGTGAACTGCATACCCTACAGGAAGAGATGGTAAAATATTTCCAATATGCAATAACACTGCCTTTAAACTTAATGTTGAACTGTCTATAAACAATCTCCATTCTTCTGGGTTATAGTTTATATTTAAAGCCGCCAGTAAGCCGTTAATGTTACTGCAGAAAACCAAGTTATTCTCCATATTGAAAAATGGTTCTAAGTCTTTGTGGCGTTTACGAAAAACACATACCGAAACATCGTCTTCTAACAAGTTCCACTGCTGCAGTCTTGATCCAAGTAACTCTGCCTTACATTTTGGAAGTTCTAAATCTCTTACAAGATCATTTAATTCTGACTGTGTTATTTTGTGCGGTTGGTGGCATGACGTGCTCGGTATAAAATCAGGATCTCTAGACGTTGATGGCATATCTTCTTCCTGACGAAGCACTCGATAGCCGTGATCTGATTCGTTTTCTGATTCGCAAGTGTAGGATTCTGGGGGTTTTGGAATAGGATTTTCGTCACTGTGAGGCACCTCATCGCAGATGGTATGTTTGGGTAGTTAATAACAGATTTTTTTTTCTTGGATATACCTGTGGCTTGTCCAACACCAGGTACCACGCAAAAGTAACAATCATTAATATGATTTGTAGGCTCTCTCCAAACCATTGGGACAGCAAAGCGCATAGACCGTTTTTTGCCATTTAACCAGCTCCTCAGACTTGAAGCACATGTATTACAGCAGATGTGGGGTGCCCACTGTTTGTCTTGATCACCTAGCTTACAACCGAAATAAAGCTGATATGCCTTTGTTATTAGTGGAGTAATAGACCGTCTCTGAGACGCAAAAGTTACATCACCACACACGTAACAAAACTGATCTGGATTGTTTACACACTTTCGAGACATCTTGCATGAACGCTGTCAGCCAACTGAGGAAAAAATGGCTAATATAAAACAATGTAATGTACACGTATGTATAACGTAACACAATCATGCCGATTACATCATCTTTCCTTGCCGAATATAAAAATGTAGCACGTGCATTCTTGTGAATTACAGTATATTATCACTGTCACAGCAGAAACACATATAATTACGGTATCTCTAAAACTTGAACTAATATTGAAAAAATAAGTTTCATTCCGGTTTTAGCACATTAAAAATAGTAATATTTTGTTGATTTTATTTAGGATATTTTTTGGCTGTTGATCAGTGTTACCTGTCATGACCGCACAAAAAACCTTTCAGCGACAGGTCACGTATATAAATCACGTCTGCCGTTTCAATATCTGAGTGGTCTCGAAGACAGAGATGCTGAGCACATAAATACCGTCTTCCCCTGTATCAAACGAAAACATTGAGTTCCAGCAGACCGGCGGGTTATTTCCGGTAATTCGTCTAAATTTCGAAGAAAAGCTCGCGCTTCGCTCGAAGCTTAACCGAACATTAATCAAGGAGGGACTGTTGTCGTAATACAGCAAATGCCGAAAAAAAGGAACTGCTGGGAAACGAAAAAAGCCGAACAGAAGGCATATATACATTTGTAACATTTGCATTTTCTCTGGAGGCTGGATATCCTCGAGCGGCTTGCCAGAGAGGGACTTCAACGTGCTGAGAGAATAAGACAAAGTATGAGTTCTCATTCAACAAGAAAAGAAGATGGATGTGAGATACGTTTTGATTTGTAGTTGTTGAATTGTAAGCGATTTAATGTACTCCAAAATACTCAACTTTGACGACCTGCCAGTCCACTATTTCAAAAGATAGTGACTTTATGTTCTAGAGTTAATAAGTACTTCTACAGAGCTTCAAAATGAGGTGTAATATGGCTTCCCTTAGATTTTTCAGATCCTATCTATCAACGCGAAATTATATCACTTTTGAACCATCTACAGCATTGATTCCCAAAGCGGTCTATATCGACCCCTAGAGGTCTATGACAACCTGCGAGGGGTCTACGTCAGCGAAAAAAAATTTGGGGGTTCATGAAATGAATGTGGGGGTCCAGGATAGTGGATCTCAACACATACACTGATAGTACCTATTTACTTACATCATACTATCTTATAATATCAAAACATATACATTATTTATAAAAGTACTTATGAAGTAAAAAAATTATTATATATGTTTATAAAATTGTGTAAGTTGTACGATGTTGGTATTCGCTTTGTGGTCGCAATACATTTTGAACTTGTAAAAACCTGAGAGTCGCAGTCTCAGAGCTTCGCTACCTTGCACTGACTTGTTCAATTCGTCACTCTATAAATACGAATGTGGGACAAACACGTTTATTCGTTTCCTGAATCTTGAAAAGGAAAGTGCTAAGAAAATATTTTAAAAAACATAGACAGATAGTATATCACACAAATTATAGTGAGTCAGTGTTATTTTGTTTGAGAGTGCTGGAGAGAAGTAAGTATATACATTATTTTTTATTAAATTTTAGTTTTGTACTCGTAGTTAGCAAAGATAGATAAATTACGCCAATCATGACTTTAGTTATTAGTAGTTAACTATTCAATCATGCAAAATTACACGAGTACTCCTCAATAGTTTCTTTTTGAAAGTTTTAGCAACCGGTAATATAATTACAGTAATTTGAGCTAATTGTTGCAAGAAGATGTTCGAATTATGGAATGTTTTCGGAAAAATCAAAAAATATTTTTAATATACAGCTGCTGGATTTTCTGTCTTATTTAAATAATTTAATTTTGCCCACAGATGACTGATGCCATGTCCGAATCTAAAAAGAAATGTAGACAGTAGAGTGTTGATTATTTGAAATTTGGTTTCATTCCATCATTGCCGGAAAAACAATCGCCTATATGCCTTTTATGCAACAAAGTTTTGGGCAATGACGCTATGAAACCATCTAAACTGCAAGATCATCTGAGAAGATGCCACCCTGATAAAACAGAGAAAGATTTGAAATACTTTCAAACAGTCAAAGATAAATTTCAGAAGAGACCTACACTGGACAGAATTTTCGCTTCGACGTCACAAAGAAATGATGATGGTTTGCGGGCGTCTTACAATATCTCGTTACTTATAGCAAAATCCGGAAAACCGCATACTATCGGAGAGAAGTTAATTTTGCCAGCCGTTGAAGAGGTTTTAAAAACTGTTTTAGACAAACCTGCATCTGATATCATTAAAAGAATTCCCTTAAGCAACAATACAAGAACAAGAACAATGAGTTCTGATATTGAAAGCTTCTTATGTAATTATTTGCAAAGGACCCATTTTTCTATACAACTGGACGAGTCAACTTTACCTGATAATGCAGCATTATTATTGGCATATGTTCGTTTTATTATGAATCAAGAAATCTACGAAGAACTGCTCTTCGCAAGAACTTTGATAACCGACACTAAAGGTGAATCAATATTTCATGTTTTGAAGGATTACTTCATTGAAAAAGCAATTCCTTTATCAAATATAATATCAGTAGCTACAGATGGAGCACCTGCCATGGTTGGACGTTATCGTGGATTTGTAAGCTATTTAAAACAAAATGTGTCAGGGGTGTTAGCAATACATTGCGTCATCCATCGACAACATTTAGTTGCTAAAAATTTGAGTGTTAGATTGCATGAATCACTTCATTTAGTCATTGATGCAGTAAACCGAATCCGAAGCAACGCGTTGAATACGCTGTTATTTGCGCAGTTGTGTGAAGAAAATGACGAACACTTTCATCAATTAATCCTTCACACTGAAGTACGCTGGCTGTCGAAAGGCTTATGTTTGACAAGATTTTTTGCACTTTTTGAGACTATTTTAGAATTTCTGGATACTAAAGATAAAATTTTAAAATAAAATTTAATGAAGAGGAAAACAGACATCGCCTAGTGAACAGATTTGTTTACAAAATTTAATATGGTTAATTTGCAATTACAAGGCGACAGTTTAAATTTGATTAAAACAAAGTCCATCTTATCAGCGTTTCTTGCCAGAGTTAAACTAATGAAGCAAAATATTGGACGGGGCGAATTTTCTCAGTTCCCCAATTTGTCACAGACAAGCTGCCAGGAAGACGACGTTTCAACTTACGTTCAACATTTAAATGCCTTCTATTCAGATTTTGATTCTAGGTTTGAGGATATTTTGACTATGGTAATACCACCGTGGATAATTAATCCATATGGTGACGTAGAAGAAACGAATGTCATAATACAAGAGGAACTGACTGAACTAAGTACAAACGAAGAACTTAAGGTTCAGTTTAAAAACAGATATCAGCAATTCTGGCTGCTAAACAACATACCCGTTACTTATCCCGTATTATGGAATATAGCGAGGAAATTTTTAATTTCCTTTCCATCATCATACTTAGTGGAAAGGGGGTTCAGCGCTGCTACCAATCTCCTAACGAAAAAAAGAAAGAGACTGGACATCATTAGCCGAGGAGATTTAAGATTAACCCTTACAAAATTGACGCCAAATGTTGATAATTTATTATTAAAGCATCACGTTCATCCTCCTCACTAAAAATATTGACTTATTGCTTATGTTATTTTATTTATAGTTTATTTTATGTTTATTGGTGTCTGACCAATAAATGCCCGCATTGGGAATAAGTGCCTGCATTGATGTTTTTAAAGAACCCACCTTTATAGAAAATATTTTTTTTAAATTATTCTGAAAATTCAAGGGTAGGTACACACTAAAATTCGTTAATTTTTTGCCTATTTTTAGATAACTTAAACGTACAAGAAACGGAATTTAATCAAACTAACAGTGAAATTATTGTAGAACATACGTTTATGTTATAATTAATAAACGAACTCGCTTATTGTATTATTTTAAGTAAACAACTTTTTTTTATTATTTTTCACTTTTTTCTTATTTTATCCCTCTTATTTTTTTTTCAATGCGGGCACTTATTCCCAATGCGGGCACTTATTGGTCAGACACCTGTTTATTTAATGTTACTTATATTTTACATAACAGATACAAAATTTTATTTTGAGTAGTTTTAATTTAAATTCAATTAATAAATGTATAAATTAACATGTGTTTTTACTTGAAGTTTTTAACACTAAACTTCACTACAGTTAGAAATTTACAGGCAAGGGGTCTACGACACAAAAAAGTTTGGTAAACTCTGATCTACAGCAAGGGCAAACGTTTTCATCTTAGTGTAGTAATTTGGATGATTAAATTGATTATTTTCTTTCCAAACTCTGTCGTAAACAATCAGTTTATCTTGTTCATGTAATTGTCTTGTAAATCTACAACTGTTAGACAATAAATGCTATTATTATCATGCTGAAATTTTGGACTACCACTTTTACGCTAAAATACAGTATTGTAACAAAAACATCGTTTTTACTGGCCAAAGTATAATTTATTACTCTACACTAATTCATTACACTTGCAAATAATTTATTACATATTTATAGTCATGTCGTCTGGACTATAATGTCGAGTTCGTTGTCCGTTAGCTGTCTCGACTGTGACTGGCTGCTGCCGCCATCTGGTCGGATATTTATTCCCCTATCGACGAATCGAGAACCATTCCAGCGTTTTTCGGACCGAGTCGTGAGCTTTCATAGTTGCTAGCATGTTCCATACATGGTCGCGTAATTCTGGTTGCCTGAACTCCGTTCCGACTTCTGACCACATGTCGAATCTTCTAGTTGATTTACGAGGGTATCTCTCGCTGGTACCCAGAGTACCAGTTATATGGTGGCTTACAGTTTCACCATCCTGTAAGAACAAGTAGGGGAGGCTTACTTTGGGATACTAACCCTCCCCCTTACGATCACTATCAAACATCTAAACCAATCTTTATCAAACGTAGCTAAGAACCATCTCAACAGACAAGACTTTTGATTAAAAAAATGCATTCTTATCGATTCATCTGTTGGAGAGTTAAGATGGCACAAATAGAAACCTTTCCTGTTTTGAGGTTTAAAGGTCTTGGTCTTCTATTTAAACAGCGCAAGTACTTGAAGTGAAGTAAATAAAAAAATACATTTTTAAAAAGAAGCTCTTATTTAGCAGTTCATAAAATAAACTGAAGATTTAAAAATATTTATTCCGATTGAAAATGTTCAAACGGTAGTGTAGCTCGTTCAACCGAACTTTTAAAATAAAAAAAGAGTATTTCACTCTGCATTAATTCTGCCGTCAAAATGTAACGCTTTTATTAGAAAACTTGGGATGATGCTTCATTATCGCTTGAACATATCCAATCGGATTTTTTTTTTAGTTTATCTTATGAACAGCTAAAGAAAATCTTGTCTTTAAAAACGTATTTTTATGTTTTGGTCAGTTTTTACTTTTTAGTATTCATGATGTCAAATAACTAGTTTGGTAATTTCTATACAGGGTGGCGCATCGAAAACGAAACAGGCGTATTTACTGGCAGCTCAGTTTTTTTTATCGAAAAACGCTCAGACCCGTCGATTTTGTTTTCGAGGGGGACACAACTTTGGCAAAAAATCACGTAAGCACGTGCAGCCCCCTAAGCGGGGGTGACACCACCTCCAAAATCTTAAATGGAAAGGGGGGTCGAGTGATACCTTATTTTAAAGGTCTTTCAATTCCCTTTATAACTTCAGTTCAGTAGTTTTGAAGATTTACTGATTTATTTGTATTATATATGACATATAAATCCGAACACCCAGTTTAAATGGTTTTATTTTAATAAAAAAAATAAGTACTTAATGAAGCATAATAAGTAAGACCTTTAATAATGTGTGGATGCACCCTGATGTGCTACGCATCCTCCAACGCGCCTAGGCATGCATCTGATCGGGTGGTCAATGTCCTCCTGTAGTATCTCATCCCAGGCAACCACCAACTCCTCTCGAAGTGCTTCTAGAGTCTGAGGAGGACGTTGCAAATTGAGCAATCTCCTACCCATCATATCCCACACGTGCTCAATTGGGGATAAGTCGGGAGATCTTGGTGGCCATGGTAACAATGTGACATCATTATGTTGAAAGAAGTCTATTGTGACTCTTGCAACATGTGGTTGGGCATTATCTTGTTGGAAAGTTGGATCTGCCAGGGTGTCAAGATAGGGTAAAAGATGGGGTTCTAGAACTTCGTGGATATAACGCTGCGCGTTCATGTTACCTCTGATGAAGATTAAAGGTGACCTGGAACCATAAGCTATAGCACCCCAAACCATAACTCCAACAGTGTGATGAACATGTCTTTCAACAAAAAACTGTGGATTTCCCCTTTCACCACGTCGCCTTCTAACTATGGCACGACCATCGTGCATGCCTAAACAAAATCGAGACTCGTCACTAAAGACAATACTGTTCCATTCCTGATCCCAGAGTGACCGTTGTCTGCACCACTCAAGGCGATTACGTCGGTGTTCTCGAGTTAAAGGGAGGACCCAGTGTGGCCGGTATGAAAACAAGCCAAAACTTCTCATTCGTCGGTAAACACTTCGCATGCCAATAGGTCTTCCGTGTTCTGCAAACCATTCATTTGCAATGGACCTGGTAGTGGAGAAACGGTCCCTTAAGGCCAATAATCTTAGGCGGCGATCTTCACGGTCTGTTGTTCTACGGCGGCGTCCAGTGCCCCTTGCTCTTTGCGTACGGCCTTTTTGAAGCCATGCCTGACAACACCTAACCACAGTGTCTACACTTCTTTGCACTCTAACTGCAATTGCCCGAAAAGAAAGTCCAGCTTCCCGAAGTCCCACTATACGGCCCCTATCAAACTCACTAAGTTGACGAAGTCGTACAGGTCTCCGTACACTAGGCATCGTAACCGATCGTAAAGGATGTCAAGAACCAAAATCCGCCAACGTTGATTCTTTACTGCAGCTGAAATATTCATTTTTAGAGCGTTAGTGAATTAAAAAAAGCAGTATAAAAACCGGAATGTCCTACTGATACGGCTGAAAATTTTTTCACTTGTTATTTACAGTAAGATAAATACATTCACCAACTTTTATTAAAATAAAACCATTTAAACTGGGTGTTCGGATTTATATGTCACTTAGTATACATTTTCGATAGACATAAATCGTATGATAAATTGAAATTTTGCGACAATCGACATATGGAATTTAGAATGACGTATTTGCTTATCGTGTTTCTCTCATTAAGCCCTTTCATTTGATACCCATGTCGTAGGAGTGACTACGAAATATGTATACCGCCATTTTGAGTAGGCCGCCATATTGGATTAAGACGGATGCCACTACGCTCATTGCGTTTCTCTTGTCAAGCCCATTCATTTGATACCCATGTCGTAGGGGTTGCCATCAAAATGTTGAATCACCATCTTGTAGCATCCGCCATATTGGATACAAAATGGCGGCAGTTAATTTAGTTCAAAGTTTTGTCCCACACATAAGTGACATATAAATCCGAACACCCAGTTTAAATGGTTTTATTTTAATAAAAGTTGGTGAATGTATTTGTCTTACTGTAAATAACAAGTGAAAAAATTTTCAGCCGTATCAGTAGGACATTCCGGTTTTTATACTGCTTTTTTTAATTCAATAACGCTCTAAAAATGAATATTTCAGCCGCAGTAAAGAATCAACGTTGGCGGATTTTGGTTCTTGACATCTTTTACGATCGGTTACGATGCCTAGTGTACGGAGACCTGTACGATTTCGTCAACTTAGTGAGTTTGATAGGGGCCGTATAGTGGGACTTCGGGAAGCTGGACTTTCTTTTCGGGCAATTGCAGTTAGAGTGCAAAGAAGTGTAGACACTGTGGTTAGGTGTTGTCAGGCATGGCTTCAAAAAGGCCGTACGCAAAGAGCAAGGGGCACTGGACGCCGCCGTAGAACAACAGACCGTGAAGATCGCCGCCTAAGATTATTGGCCTTAAGGGACCGTTTCTCCACTACCAGGTCCATTGCAAATGAATGGTTTGCAGAACACGGAAGACCTATTGGCATGCGAAGTGTTTACCGACGAATGAGAAGTTTTGGCTTGTTTTCATACCGGCCACACTGGGTCCTCCCTTTAACTCGAGAACACCGACGTAATCGCCTTGAGTGGTGCAGACAACGGTCACTCTGGGATCAGGAATGGAACAGTATTGTCTTTAGTGACGAGTCTCGATTTTGTTTAGGCATGCACGATGGTCGTGCCAGGGTTAGAAGGCGACGTGGTGAACGGAGGAATCCACAGTTTTTTGTTGAAAGACATGTTCATCACACTGTTGGAGTCATGGTTTGGGGTGCTATAGCTTACGGTTATATTGGTTTTTGAATGTGAATAAACTTTGATTGATTGATTGATCTTTGTAATCAGCGCATCAAACATACCCAAATGAAGTTCTTACTT